AGAGAGAAACACTTAAGACACTTGAAATACAACAAAGGATTTTTTCCTACCTAGAAAAATTTTTATAGCGCAGATATACCATAAATACCCATCATAGTACAATAATGCCTGGTATCCAGCGTTATATATGCAAGAATAGTAGAAAAGATGAATGAATGAATGAATGAATGGATGGATGGATGGATGGATGGATGGATGGATGGATGGATGGATGGATGAGTGTGAGAGTGAATGAATGAGTGAATGAATGAATGAAAGAATGAATGAATAGGTAGTTGATTGGCTGGTTGGCTGGTCGGTTGGTTAAATAGATAATTAAATAAATAAATGGAAGGATAAATAGATGAATTGATGTATGAAAATATGGATAACAAAATAGATAGATAGACGGATGGATCTATGGATGGATTGATAAATGGTTTTGATGGATAAATAGAAAGATAGGTGAACGAAAAAATGGTTAAATGGATAGACGAATGTAAAGATAAATAGTTGGATAGATTAATATATGGATAGATGCAACAGATATGTGCATTTGAATATAACAGGACCGACACTCTTAAATCTATCAAGATCTGTATCTGTTTGTTTCATCCTTTTATTCGTTCATTCGTTTGTTCATTCATTCTTTCATTCATTTATCGTTCATTCATTTATTTATTTCATTATTTTATTCAATTTTCTTTTTGGTTATTTTATTTCAGCTGTCTTCTTTTAAGTTTTACTTATTCAAGTATTACTCTCACTTTCACTTGTTTCTTTCCGTTTTATCTCTGCTCACTCTTCTCTCTCTCTCTCCCTCCTCTCTCATTTCTTCATCTTTTCTCTCATTTTATGTTTTTCTTTCGTTCTCTCTCTCCCTCTCTCTCTCTCTCTCTTTCTCTCTCTCTCTTCTTTTCTCTCTATTTTTTTCTGTCTTTTTTTGTAGACTCGCGCGTTTCTTCTCCACACGAGAATTGCTATCTAGATGGTGATAAATTTATTTGAAATATAAATACGAACGAACGAACGAACGAATTAATGAATGAATGAATGAATGAACGAACGAACGAATGAGTGAATAAATGATTAGTTTAATGAATTAATAGATAAATAAATGGATAAATGAATGACTGAATGAATGAATGATTTACAGTAATCATCACTATCTTTGTTATTTTTAGCACAGCATCTTCGACCGTCTGTTGATTTTTTTACATCTATTTTAATCGGCTAATAAAAAACCATACAGACAAACGAATGAATTAACGAACGAACGAACGAATGAATGAATGAATGAACGAACGAATGAAACTAACATCATCGTCATCATCAATGTCGTCAAAGACGCCATCATTCCTGTCATCATTGTATTATAAACATTTTCAGGTTCGGACTGTGCGAAAAATGAAGAAACATAATCCTTATCATTATTATTATTATTATTATTAAGTATTTTTATTGTTATTATAATTATTGCTGTTATTATTATTATTATTATTTTATTATTATGTTTTCATTGTTACATTTCAATTGTTTACGTTGGAAACTCCGCTTCAAATTGACTTTCTGACTAAATGTTGAAAATAAATCATTTGATAAATGGATGAGAAAAGCGGATGGATGAATGGATGGATAGATGGATGGATGGATGGATGGATGGATAGATGGATGGATGGATGGATGGATGAATGGATAGATAAATGAATGGATGGATGGTTAAATGGATGAATAAAAAAATGAGTGCTGATGAAAAACAGCACGATGTATAGGAGGGTGAATATTAATGGATAGGTAGATGTAATATAGATAAGTGATTGAATAATGGTAGATTGATGGATGGTTAGAAAGATGAATGAATAAAAATATATCGATTGATTGATAGACAAATGGAAAGATGAAGAAGTTGGTTGATTGATTGATTGGTTGATTGATAGCTGTGTGAACGTACATTTAAAAGGAAGTGTGAATGGAAATGGTTGACTAGTTGGTGGATTGATTGACTGATTGACATATCTAGTTGCTGATGGATTGAAAAATGAATGAATGAATGTATGAACGAACGAACGAACGAACGATTGAATGAATAAATGAAAAGAAAGACAAATTGATCGATCGAGTTTTCTTACATTTCTCAATTCATCTCAACATTCATCATTATTATCATAACCATCGGCATCCTCATCGGTGTCATCCCACCAATCATCATCATCGTCATCATCATCATCGTTGTCGTCGTCGTATCATCCTCTTTATGATGTCATGAGCGTCATTTGTAACCAATGAATAAATTGTATTATGTAGGCACATCTTAAAAAGTTTCAAATTTTTAAACATTTCATTTGCAGATGACGGCAATAAATTTATCATCGATCGGGAAGACGATGTTGGTGACGTCATCGTCAACAACAACAGCAACAACATCAACAACAACAACAACATCAACATCATCAACAGCAACAACAACGCTAATGACAGCACCAAACATGCTAACAAAAAAGACCCAAACATCGGCGCAACAAAAACCGACTACAATTCACGTACCGATTCTAACCGATATCAAAGCGACGACGAAACTGACCGCAATTCGAACGCGAATACCGAGACTAACCAATACCACCGACGCACGAAACGGTCCAACTCGATCGAATATTACGTCGAGGTTATGATAGCAGTTGATATAAGCATGCAGAGGATCCATGGCAATAAACTGGAAAGCTATATAATCAACCTCATGTCCATTGTTAGTTTATTATTATTAGTAATATTATTATTAATATTATTATTATTGTTGTTATTATTATTATTTTTGTTGTCGTTGTTGTTGTTAATGCTATTGTTATTGGAGTTATTATTATTGTTATTATTATTATTATTATTGTTATTATTTTCTATCCTTTAAGCTTTATACTTGCCTTTGTTTCATTTTTATTAGTGCTTTGTATGTGTGCGTGCCTGTGTCTGTGTCTGCGTGTTTAAGTACGTATGAAAGGAGGGGAAGAATAGTAGGAAGGAGAAAATAAAAATAGAGAAAAAAAGGAAAAGAAATCAAAAAAGAGAAAGAGAGAGAAAGAGAAAGAAAGAGAGAGAAAGAGAAAAAGAGAGAGAGAGAGAGATAAAGTTAGAGGTGAATAATTTTAAACGTTTCAGAAGAATTGAATGAAAAACAATAGCACCAACGACAATTTAGTTGAAATTTACAAAAAAGAGAACGAGAAAAAAGATAAAAAAAGAGATAGATAGATAAATAGAGAGAGAGAGAAAGAGAGAGAGAGAGAGAGAGAGAGAGAAAGAGAAATAGAAAGAGAAAGAACGATTTTTGAAGAATTGAAATGAAAACAACACCAGTGCCTACCAAGAACAATTTATATAACCAGATCGTCCATCAACTTTGTATATTTATTTTTTTCTGGCATACAAATTTCTTTCACAGATATAACAATTTTTTTAAACAAAACAAAAAATTCCTCAGAGAACAAGAAAAAAAAATTATTTTTCCAAATTATATTCTCCCCCGACAGGTGTCACGCATATACAAACATCACACAGTCGGCAACTACATTGATATGATACTAACGAAGATTGTATTGCTAGACGAAGCTACGGTTAGAGTTTGTTTATTTGTTTGTATACTAGTCTTTTTACATGTTTGTATGGTTGTTTGTTTGTACAGTTGTTGTTTTTGTAGGGTTTTATGTTTGTCTGTCTGTCTGCTGTCTGTCTGTCTGTCGGTCTGTATGGTAGTTCGGATGAATGCTATCATGGTTTGTTTGCATGTATGTATCGTTCGTATGTTGTACGAAAAAAGAATTATGAAGGATGATACATACTCAGATAAACATACAAACATACAAACAAATATACATACAAACAAATATACATACTAACAAAAATACATACAAACTGACAGAGCAAGCGAATAATTTCATCAAATGCCGTAAGTACACTGAAAAAGTTCTGTGCCTTCCAGCAAGAGCATTCAACACACAATGGAATGATCGACCACTTTGACACTGCAGTCCTCATTACTAAGTAATTTGTATTTTCTGTATTTTGGGTAATGCATTTTGCATAGTTTTGTATCTTGTATTGTATTTTTTGTTTGTATTTTTATCTTGTATCGTATTTTTTGTTTGTCTGTTTGTATGGTTGTTTGTTTGTATAGTGGTTATTTTTTGTAGGGTTTTATGTTTGTTTGTCTTTGTATTTTATTTTGTTTGTTATTACATTGTATTCCTACCAAATTGTAATTTGTATGGTTTGTATGTTATATTGTATGTATTTCAGTTTCTTCTTATGTTAAATTATTGGCGCGCGATTCGTTTGTATTGTATTCGGTTTTGAGTTGAATTGTATCTTGTATTACTATAATGTATTTCTCTAGCACTTGAATTGTACTTCTTTGTATGTCGTTTTCTTTTGTTTGTATTATTTAAATATTAGTAGTAGCAACAAAGCAATAACACAATAGCAGTAGTAGTAGCAACAACAGCAGAAGCTGGAGTAGCAGCTGCAGCAGTAGTAGTAGCAGCAGTAGTAGCAGTAGTAGCAGCAGTAGTAGCAGCAGCAGCAGCAGCAGCAGTAGTAGTAGTAGTAGTAGTAGTAGCAGCAGTTTGTAGTTTATTCAGTACTTCTTTTATTTTGATTGTTCGGTGTGAAATTTGAAGCAAGTCATTGATGTTGAAATGTTAAACTTTAAAATCCGTCAAACATTTCAGTCTGAACATTTAAGCCGTCATCCACGTCATCATCATCATCATCATCGTCGTCGTCGTCGTCATCATAAAATCAATTTGTTCATTAAACTAAGCACACACACAAACAAATACACACATATACAGAGAGAGAGAGAGAAAAAAGAGAGAAAGAGAGAGAGAGAGAGATAGTACAAAAGAGACAGACACACCACACACACACACAAACACACAAAAACATCACACACAGAGACACACAACACACACGCACACACACAGGCACACACTCATACCTATCTTGTTTCACAAACAATTCCTAATTAGCGGAACTCAATCAAACGTACGATGAAGAAAGCAGGAGGTATTTTTGCATCAAGTACAGATGATGGAATACGCAACAAATATCCAATCGATAGCTGGTATTTCGCCTGCGCCTGCGCATAATCAGTAACTTGGAACTAGTACACTCCTGGTTCTCCGCTTCTTAAATAAGTACACACAATAAGTAACCACATCAAAGACTGAAGAAACACACACACATACAGACACTAAACACACACATAAACACACATGCACACTTACACACACACACACACACACACACACACACATATATATATATATATATATAATATATATATATATAATATATATAATATATATACACACACTCACACAGACATGATACCAACAAATAGACGAGGACAAATTCGATTTAAATAAAATTAAATGATCCAAAATTAAATTAAATTAAAAAGTGGAATTTGGCTGACTTTGACTGTAGGCAAGGCATATCAATCTTTTCAATTTAAGTATGTATGTGTCTTTGTATGTATGCTTGTATGTATGTTTGTATGCATGCATGTATGTATGTATGTACGAAACAAAAAGACAGACAGATACAAACACATACAAAAAACAAACGACCAAACATATATACACACATACATACATACATAGAAAGATAGATGATGAGGATGATGATTACGATGATGATGATGAACAATAGCAATGACAATAATAATCAGAATATAAAATATTTAAAATTTAATAAATATATTAAATTTAAAAAAAAATAGAACAAAATTAATGATAAAAAGAAAGCAGAATGTTATAGGTGCATCTGCATATGAATAAATCAGTTTTAAAAAATATTGGCATCCATGCACACAAACACACACAACATAACACACACAAACAAACACACAAACAAACACACACACACGCGCAAGCAAACACACATACACACACACTAACAAACCAATACACACACACAAGCAAACACACACACACTAACAAACACATAAACACACACACACACAAACAAACACACACATACATGCAAACATACACCTAAACGGATATAAACACAATCGCAAGGCATAAACAAATATGTACATCAACAACAAATATCGCGAAAATATTTTTCAAACAGTGAAATTGAAAGCTTACTCCTTAATATTCTATTTCATATACCTTTTTTACATAATTTTCTATCATTACATTTTTAAACAGCACCGTCTGTGTTATGTGTGTATATGTGTTTGTATATATTTGAACGTTTGTATGTATGTATATTTGTTTGTTTGTATGTATGTATGATTGTATATATGTTTGTATGTATGTACATTGGTATGTATATATGTATGTTTGTTTGTATATTTTTTGGGTGTTTTTAGTTTTTCCAAGTAATAAATATAATTCTTTTCCTACTAATTCAGAGAGGATATATGTCGTGAGCCCGCGAAATGCGATACCCTAGGTATTGTTTGGTATTTCTTGTATTGTTTTGTATGTTTTTTGCATTATTTCCTATATTTTTTGTTAGTTTTGTATGTTTATTTATTATTATTGGGCGTTTTTTGTATGTTTGGTTGTATTCTATTGTATGGGTTGCTGTATTCTATTGCATATGTTATTTTATTCTAATGTCTGAAGTTGTTGTATTCTATTGTATGTGTTGTTGTATTTTGTTGTATCTGTTGTTGTATTTTGTTGTATCTGTTGTTGTATTCTATTGTATCTGTTGTTGTATTCTATTGAATAAATTTTTGTATGTAATTGTATTTTATGTGTGGGTTTAGTGTGGTGTATCTTCATAAGCTTGTATACCAGTGGTACTTTACATATTTGTAGGCGTTAAATGCCCTCCAAAAATACTTACCCCCCACAGGTCTGGCGGAAATGGGCACCATTTGCGACCCCAAACTTAGCTGCTCTATCGCGGAAGACGTGGGTCTCGGTACGGCCCTGACCATTGCCCATGAGCTTGGCCACGTGTCAGTTGTGACCCCATTTGCATGACGTCATTTTTAGATTATTCATTTATTCATTTATTCGAGATTTTTTTTTTCTAGATTTTAAATTCTAAAGTTGTGTAGCAATAATTTTTACTGAATTTTATTGAGAATCATAACGTAACTTGTTGATGCTGTAACTTACCGTGACGTATGTAATACTCAAAGTGACGTAATTCAAATTTAATATGAGGTAATGTGACGAAAAGTGACACAAAATTTTGCCACTAGCTTCAGTCTTCGGCACTATAACGAGGAGAAAGATTGCAAGACGTTACAATCTACAACGGATGTTCTCTATATAATGGCGCCTAAAGCTATTAGGAGTAAAACTATGCTATGGTCCAAGTGCAGCACTGACAAGTTGACGCTATTTCTAGAGTTGGTTGATTGATTGATTGGTTGGTTGATTGATCGGTTGGTTGGATGATTGGTTGGATGGCTGGTTGGATTACTGATTGATATTTTAACTGATTCAGTGACTGATTGATTGATTTGAATGTTTAAACGGTTGAGTTGCTTCTTACTTTCATTGGCTGGTTGTTTGTTTAACTGGTTGTGCTACTATTGCCAAATAAGTTTATTATTATTATTAATATTATTATTATTATTGTTGTTGTTGTTTGACGTTTTTCTTGTTTTTGTTTATGCTTTTTGTTTTGTGGTATAATTAATCATTCTTCAGCTATTTTTTTTTCTTTGTTCATCTTCGTACATCAGACTAAATATCAAATATCAAACATTTTTTGGCAAATAACAATAAACAGTTATAACTATAATAATAATAATAATAATAATAATAATAATAATAATAATAATAATAATAAGAATAATAATAATAATAATAACGACAACCGCAAAACAGCCACTTCACTAATGCATCAACAACACAAGCAACAAAAAGCATAAATGAATGATGGAATAAATAATAATTGAAATAAGTATTTTAATAAAAATAATAATTATGATTATTATAATTATATTTATTATTATCAATTATAGTTCGGGGAAAGGTGAATGTTTAACAAACTATCCGCCAAGGCAAAAAAAATATCCCAATCCACCTAATGATCGGAGGACTCCTGTCTTACCTGGTTGGTTGGTTGGTTGGTTGGTTGGTTGGTTAATTGGTTGGTTGGTTAGTTGGTTGGTTGGTTGGTCGGTTGGTTGGTTGGCTGGTTGGTTGGCTTGTTGGTTGGCTTGTTGGTTGGTTGGTTGGTTGGCTGGTTGGTTGGCTTGTTGGTTGGCTTGTTGGCTGGTTGGTTGGTTGGTTGGCTGGTTGGTTGGCTTGTTGGCTGGTTGGCTGGTTGGTTGGCTTGTTGGTTGGCTTGTTGGTTGGTTGGTTGGCTGATTGGCTAAATAAAATAAATTTTTAATAGTTGTAAATTAACATTTCAATCTACATCATCGCCACACAAGAAGTTTTCAATACAGTTTTTTCAACAACAATTCAAAAATAATTAACTCACCACGAATAATACACAACTTTTTAATTATTACAATCATAATTAAACATAATTATAATTATAATTGATAATTATAATTAATAATCTCGCTCGTCGTTTCAGGTTACTTCTACACGGCAGACCAGCAGTGTCAGTTGGTCATGGGTCCATGGTCTAGTGTTTGTAAAGCTAAAGTAAGTCATCTCCATCATCATTGCTATCATCATAACCTCATTCTCATCATCGTTATCATGATCGCTATTACTACATCATCATCATAACTAAGTCACTATCATCATCATCACCATCAGAAGCCCGAATGTGAATTTTTATGGTGTGAGCTGAACCAATCAAGTTGTCTGCACAAAAATATGGCCTGGGCCGAGGGCACGCCCTGTGATGGGGGCAGGGGGGTACGTGTATGTGTGTATATTTTTTGTATGTATGTACTTTTTTGTGTGTGTGTAGGATTTTGTATGTGCGCATGTGTGTACGATTTCTAGTATGTGTGTGTGTTTTTGTGTGTGTGTGTGTGTGTTTGCACGTTTTCTTGTACGTATTTGTGCACGTCATTCTGCTTGTATGGGTATTCGGATGGTGGGATGCTGTAAGGCACGTGCTGCATTGACCGCGTTCGAATTCATAGACACTCCAATTCATAATTCGCAGCACCGTTCGATATGTTGGTAGAACGTTCTCGCACTGACGCTTTGTTGCTAATACTATTGGGTTATTTTATTTAGATGAAACAACCTTGAACTTTCAACTTTCAACCTTGAACTTCCAACAGCAATGTTACCAAAATAGTTGCACAACGACCTTGCAGTTGCGGGTAGTGAATGGTGGCTGGGGCACCTGGTCCACTTACTCCAACTGTTCCAGGTCGTGCGGGGGAGGTATCCAAGAATCCGTGAGGCTCTGCAATAATCCCATGTTGGTTGTGTCTTCCTGTTGTTGCTGTTGTTAACGATGATGACGTCATTTTCGTTGTTGTTGTTGTTGCCCTAGTTTTTGTTGTTATTCTTTTTTTTATTATTATTATTAGAGTGATGATAATGATGATGATGACAATGACGACAATGGTAATAATTAGAAAAATGAAATTTATTCATGCTCTTTTTTCCCAGACCAGAGAACGGCGGAAAGTATTGTACCGGAAAGAGAACGAAATATAGATCGTGCAATACAGAGGTTTAATCACCATCATCACCACCTCTATCATCATCATCACCACCACCACCATCATCATCATTATCACCACTACCACCATCATCATCATAACCACCATCATCATCATCATCATCACCACTACCACCATCATCATCATAACCACCATCATCATCAACAACAACACAACATCATCATCAGTACTGCACAAACATAGACGAGAGAGATTTCCGTAACAATCAGTGCCAGAAATACAACGGTAACAATTTTCAAATACAAGGTCTCGATCCTGGCGTTAAGTGGATTGCCAAGTATTCCGGAAGTTTGTATTTTTTTGTATCTTTGTTTGTATTTTTGTTTGTATTTTTGTTTGTATTTTTGTTTGAATTATTTGTGCTGTTTCTATTAGTTTGTATCAGTTTGTATTTTTGTTTATTAGTTTGTATTAATTTGTATTTCTGTATGCATTCTTAGTATTTGTCATTACATTTTGTTGTATTTATATTTAGTTCATTAACATCATCACTTCATCACTACTACGTCATAATAAAGACATCATCGTCGTCACAACGTCACAATTACGTCATCTTCACTTCCAAACTCAGTCGCCAAAGTGGATAGATGCGCCCTCTACTGCGAGGTGGAAAATTTCAGCAGCGCCTACTACAAGCTGTCCGCCAAAGTTATTGACGGAACCAAGTGTGACCCTACAACCTATGACGTCTGCATCCGAGGGAAGTGCCATGTTAGTTGCGTGATTGGTTGGTTGGTTGGTTGGTTGGCTGGTTGGTTGGTTGGTTGATTGGTTGATTGATTGTTTGATTGATTGGTTGGTTGGTTGGCTGTTGACAAATTGACCGACAGACTGACCAACGAACCAATTGATTGGTTGGTTATCTAAAACTATCATTGCTGACATCATCATCATCGTTACTTATACCTTCATCATCAGCATCATCACCACCATCATCACCACCATCATCATTATCACCACCAGAGAGCCGGTTGCGACAACCACCTGGCGTCCAACAAAACGCTAGACGTCTGTGGCGTCTGTGGCGGAAACAACTCCACGTGTTTCGTCATCTTTGAGCAAATCAACGAACCGCAAATAATTATCGATAGTGAGTGGATGATGATGACGACGATGGTGATGATTGTGATGATTGTAATAATGATAATGATGATGATGATGAGGACGATGATGATGACGATAACGATGATGATGATGATTGTTGTAATGATTATTGTGATGATGATGAACCACTTCATCATCTCTATCTCCACCACTTCTACCACTACCATCATTATCGTCATCGTCATCATCATCATCTTCTTCATCATCATCATCATCACAGACTACAATGATCTGACCGTCATACCAGAAGGGGCTACCCAGATTGAGATTGAACTTTCAGAGCCTGATATATATCTTGGTGAGCCGTCTTCATCACCATATACATATATCATCACCACCATCACCATCTACATCGTCACCATCATCGTTATTCTATTACCACCACCACCACCATCATCATCATCGTCATCACAACCAGCTTTATCGGATTCGAACGGAAACAGAATCCTGAACGCAAACATGCAGATAGCAAATTTTGGGAAGGAGATCCCATATGGGAGTACCATAATTTACTACAGTGGGGCCAATGATGTCCACGAAAGAATTTTTTCTAACGGGCCTTTGAAAGAGGCCCTCAGAGTTGATGTTGGTGTTTGTGTGATATGTGTGTTTGTGGTTTTTTGTGTGCGTGTGTGGTTTTGTGTGTATGGTTGTGTGTGTATTTGTGTGTGTGTGTGTGTGTGTGTGTGTGTGTGTGTGGTTTTGTGTTGTTGTGGTGTGTTTTGTGTGGTGTGTGATTGTGATTGTTCAATTTCAAGGGCGGTGTTTTTAGTGCTGGTTATTTGTGTTGTTTCGTAGTGTGTGTAGTTGCATGAGAGGTGTGTTTTTTTGGTGTGTATAGTGTGTTTTTTAATGTGTTTGTTCTCATTATTTATGACTGCGTATTGTTTGCTCATTATATGTTTATTGGATAGTTAGTTCTATTCTACTTAATGAACCTAGACATATGTTGTTATTATCATCTACAGTTCATTATAATATATTTAATGTAATTTAATGTAATATGTATATATATATATTTTTAATGTCATTTGATGTGATGTCATGTATAATGTATTTTAATGTATTTTATGTTACGTTATGTCATTGGTGCCAACAAACAACAAGTCCAATCCGTGTTTTTTTTTATACATAGCTTGTGATCCTTTTCTATCAGCTGCTCTGTGTGCTATTTCGCCTTGATTTATTAGGTGTACAATGACGCGAAAATTATTCATGAAATAGTTTGGCAGTTAGTTTGGTGAAAAAAAAATTTTTTAATGTCATTTGATGTGATGTTAATGTAACCGTGGCTGCTATGACACTAATAAAAAATGCACTTCGTCTGAATCAACAACTGCAGCATTAAGTACGATTGCAACGAAGACACCACAGTTGTTGTTTGTGTGGTTTTTTATGTGACGTGACTTTACGTTAAGTTATTTTAATTGTTTATAATGATAATAATAATAATTAAAATTGAAACTTGAAAACTTAAAAAATTAAATGAAATCATTCTCTAGCTACTATCGAGATTCGCAAAGTACATCAGACCAAACGTCAGGTGGCGTTATATTCAACCGAGGCAAAGCAGCAGCAACAACAACAGCACAACTAACATCAACAACAACAACATATTTTACAGCAACAACATCAACAAATTTGAGAATACGATCTACCAGCCAGCCAATGATGAATACAGATGGTCCGTTGGAAGTTGGGAACCTTGCAGTTTTAAATGCAATGGTAAGGAGGGTTTTTTTTTCGTTATTATCACTAAGGAAAATTATTCAATTAAAATAGTTTTATTATGATTAAAAAAATTATTAATAATAAAATAAAATTATAATATAATAATAAAAATAAAATGTAAAACTTGTATAATTTAATGAGTTTAGCCATTAAAAAATATGTCGTTAATATTTTTTTTGATGTTTTATGCTTTGAATATTTTTTTTGACAAATGTGTTGTTGATGTTTTTTGAGGATTGGAAAAAGTAAAATGGTGGTTATACGTGTTCATTTCTTCGTTCGTTTCTCGGTCTTTTTTCATTTCGTGGTTTTTTTTTCATTTCGCGGTTTTTTGTGTTCACTTTGGCAATTCATAATAATTAAAACGATCGTCATTATCATCGTCTTAATCATCGTCGTCGTCATGTCAACATTCATAATCATCGTCGTTATCACAATCATTAACACCATCATCAGCATCTTCATCATCCCCATCTTCATTATTATCATCATCCTCATCATCATCACCTTCATTTCCTCATCATCCTTCTCATCATCATCATCATCTTCATCCTCCTCTTCATCATCTTCATTATCATCACCATCCTCATCAACACTATCTTCATCGTCAACATCATTATCAACACCACCACCAGGAACCAGATCCAGGAAAGTATCCTGTAGAAACGACAGACTGGTGGATGACATAGCTCCGGAGTACTGCTCCCACATCCTTGACCGACCAGCTAGCACGGAATTTTGTAACGTTAACTGCGCCCTCAGGTTACATTTTTCACATTCTTCCATCAGTCAATCCATCTACTCATTCATCGGTCATTCAATCAATCAATCAATTTGTCCATCCATCCATCCATCCATCCATCCATACATCCGGTAATTTTTCTTCAACAGATGGACTGTAGAGAAGCAATCAAAATGTTTGGGCAATTGCGGTCAGCAAGGTTCGGCCGAGCAAATTATCTCTTGTCAAGTTGATCACATCTACGTGCAGAACAATCAGGAAAGGTTTGAAACCCTCTCGCCAAACGATTGCATGCATCTTCCTCTGCCTGACAGATTCGTCACCTGCTATGTCCACTGTCAAAGTAACTTTACTTGGGTCTATGGGGATTGGAGTAAGGTGGGCTGTTTTTTTAATTCATCCATCAATCCGTCAATCAATCATTCATTTATTCATTCATTCGTTCGTTCGTTCGTTCATCCATTCATCCATTCATCATTCATTTATTCATCCATCTATTCATCCATCCATCCATGGAAACAGTGCAGCACAACGTGCAACAGTGGAATACAGATGCGATGGAGCAAATGCCAGGATGTGGTGATGGGGAGGTATGTGAAAAAAACGAGATGTCAAAGAGAGGAAGAGGAGTCCACGGAGAGATCCTGCAATTTGGGAGAGTGTCCCACCTGGGTACCTGGCAACTGGGGCAGTGTTAGTAATGATGCTGATGTCTTTCCAGCCAATCAATCGTTGCCATTTATATAGCGCCGTTTTTACGAATTAGGAATTTTTATCAATATTTCACAGATACTCAAAGTACACGCTTATCAAAAATAACTCGTCAAACGCATCCTCGCCATCATCACCGTTGTCATCATCATCAACACCATCATTATCATCAACATCATCATCATTACCAACATCATCATCATCAAGACCATCATTATCACCAACATCATCATTACCAACATCATCATCATCAAGACCATCATTATCACCAACATCATCATCACCAACATCATCATCATCAACACCATCATTATCACCAACATCATCATCACCAACATCATCATCACCAACATCATCATCATCATCATCATCATCATCATCATCATCATCATCACCAACATCATCATCATCACCAACATCATCATCACC